AAGCAATGGGGAAAGGATTCCCTGTTTAATAAATGGTGTTGGGAAAACTGGCTAGCTATGTGCAGAAAGCAGAAACTGGACCCCCTCCTGACACCTTACACTAAAATTAACTCCAGATGGATTAAAGACTTAAACATAAGACCTGGCACCATAAAAACCCTAGAAGAAAATCTAGGCAAAACCATCAGGACATAGGAGTAGGCAAGGACTTCATGACCAAAACACCAAAAGCATTGGCAACAAAAGCCAAAATAGACAAATGGGACCTAATCAAACTCCACAGCTTCTGCACGGCAAAGGAAACAGCCACTAGAGTGAATCGGCAACCAACAGAATGGGAAAAAATGTTTGCAGTTTACCCATCTGACAAAGGGCTTATATCCAGAATATACAAAGAACTCAAACAGATATACAGGAAAAAAACAAGCCCATTCAAAAATGGGCAAAGGATATGAACAGACACTTCACAAAAGAAGACATACATGAGGCCAACAAACATATGAAAAAATGCTCATCATCACTGGTCATCAGAGAGATGCAAATCAAAACCACATTGAGATACCATCTCACGGCAGTTAGAATGGCAATCATTAAAAAATCCAATAAAAAATTTTTTTAAAAAGTGGCTTCTTATTAGTTTTGAGGTCAAGTTATAAGCATCTTAATGTAACAATAATTCCCCTGATGTTCTTTGTCTGCAGTTCCTCATTTCTTTCTTCACCCCCAGCAGCATCTTTCTCATTGTTGTTACTGACATTGGACTCTAGGCACCAAACTGCTGCCTTTTTTCCGTCCTTTACTTTTTTTATATTTGCTTCTTTGCCTAGAATGCTCACATTTTCCTTCTTTATGCATACATTTTATCTAAAGTGTGATTTTTCTCAAGGAAACATTTTCCTCAAATAAATTTGTCTGAGTGGGTCAAATGCCTCTTTTCTAAGAATTCTTTATATTCTCATCAAATTGATAATTGCAAATTATATTTATTTTGTTTCCAGAGATATATTCATGTTCTGGCTCCCCACTCCGTGAGAGGAGATCCAGTGTCTTGTTTTGTCCCAAATTTTATACTTAATCTTGATTGTATATTTGATAAACTGATGCTAGGGAATTGAAGTTGAATACCTGGCTACGTATGCTGAATATTAAAAAAAAATCAGAACTTGAAAATTAAAATTTGTTGATGAATGAACATAAAAAAAAAATCTGGAGACAACAGGTGCTGGAGAGGATGTGGAGAAAAAGGAACACTTTTACACTGTTGGTGGGAGTGTAAATTAGTTCAACCATTGTGGAAGACAGTGTGGCAATTCCTCAAGGCCTTAGAAATAGAAATTCCATTTGACCCAGCAATCCCATTACTGGGTATATACCCAAAGGACTATAAATCGTTCTACTATAAGGACACATGCACACGAATGTTCACTGCAGCACTGTTTACAACAGCAAAGACCTGGAACCAACCCAAATGCCCATTGATGATAGACTGGATTGGGAAAATGTGGCACATATACACCATGGAATATTATGCAGCAATCAGAAATGATGAGTTCATGTCGTTTGTAGGGACATGGATGAATCTGGAGAACATCATTCTCAGCAAACTGACACAGGAACAGAAAATGAAATACCGCATATTCTCATTCATAGGAGGGTGATGAAAAATGAGAACACATGGACACAGGGAGGGGAGTACTGAACACTGGGGTCTATTGGGGGGAAAAGGGGAGGGCCAGCGGTGGGGGGAGCTGGGGAGGGCTAGCCTGGGGAAAAATGACAAATGTGGGTGAAGGGGAGAAAGGAAGCAAAACACACTGCCATGTGTGTACCTATGCAACTGTCTTGCACATTCTGCACATGTACCCCAAAACCTAAAATGCAATAAAAAAAAAGAAAAAAAAAACAAGCAATGGGGAAAGGGTTCCCTGTTTAATAAATGGTGTTGGGAAAACTGGCTAGCTATGTGCAGAAAGCAGAAACTGGACCCCTTCCTGACACCTTACACTAAAATTAACTCCAGATGGATTAAAGACTTAAACATAAGACCTGGCACCATAAAAACCCTAGAAGAAAATCTAGGCAAAACCATTCAGGACATAGGAGTAGGTAAGGACTTCATGACCAAAACACCAAAAGCATTGGCAACAAAAGCCAAAATAGACAAATGGGAACTAATCAAACTCCACAGCTTCTGCACGGCAAAAGAAATAGTCATTAGAGCGAATCGGCAATGAACAGAATGGGAAAAAATTTTTGCAGTTTACCCATCTGACAAAGGGCTGATATCCAGAATTTACAAAGAACTAAAACAGATTTACAAGAAGAAAAGCCCATTCATAAGTGGGCAAAGGATATGAACAGACACTTTACAAAAGAAGACATACATGAGGCCAACAAACATATGAAAAAATGCTCATCATCACTGGTCATTAGAGAAATGCAAATCAAAACTGCATTGAGATACCATCTCACGCCAGTTAGAATGGCCATCATTAAACAATCCGGAGACAACAGATGCTGGAGAGGATGTGGAGAAAAAGGAACACTTTTACACTGTTGGTGGGAGTGTAAATTAGTTCAACTGTTGTGGAAGACAGTGTGGCGATTCCTCAAGGACCTAGAAATAGATATTCCATTTGACCCAGCAATCCCATTACTGGGTATATATCCAAAGGATTATAAATCATTCTACTATAAGGACACATGCACACGAATGTTCATTGCAGCACTGTTTACAATAGCAGAGACCAGGAATCAACGCAAATGCCCATCGATGATAGACTGGACAGGGAAAATGTGGAACATATACACCATGGAATATGATGCAGCAATCAAAAATGATGAGTTCGTGTCCTTTGTAGGGACATGGATGAACCTGGAGAACATCATTCTCAGCACACTGACACAAGAGCAGAAAGTGAAATATCGCATGTTCTCACTCATAGGCGAGTGTTGAACAATGAGAACACATGGACACAGGGAGGGGGCACTACACACTGGGGTCTGTTGGGGGGAATAGGGGAGGGACAGCGGGGGCGTGGGGAGTTGGGGAGAGATAGCATAGGGAGAAATGCCAGATATAGGTGAAGGGGAGGAAGGCAGCAAATCACACTGCCACGTGTATACCTATGCAACAATCTTGCATGTTCTTCACATGTAGCCCAAAACCTAAATGCAATAAAAAAAAGAATAAAGTTGGAAGCCTTTCGCTAGTTAATTTTAAATTTACTATGAAGCCACAAGATAATGTGACATTAGCACAAGGATAACTAAATCGATCAAGGGAAAAAAGAATCTAGAAATACATTCTAACATTTATGGACAATTAATTTTTGACACAGTTACCAATATAATTCAATGATGAAAAGGTTGTCTTTAAGAAGTGATTCTGAACAAATGGATGCCTACATGCCAAAGGAGAAGGAGCCTCGCCTTACCCATCATACATGAAAACTAGATGAAAATGGGTCATAGAGCTAAAACCATAATACAATAGAAAATTGCTATAAATTTGGGTTGGATAAAGAGATTCCAGACATAACAACAAAAGCGTGATCCAAGAAATAAAAATATTGATAAATTGAACTTTGTAAACAAATAAAAAATTTTATGTTTCAAGAGACAGTATGAAGAAAATGAGAAGACAAGCCACAGTCCGAAAGAAAATATTTGCAAATCATTTATCTGATAAAGGACTTGTATTCAGAACACTTATGGCTCAAGAATAAGACAAGCAACACAATTTTGCAAATGAGCAAAATATCTGAATATACACATTTCACTGAAGAAGATATAGAAAAGGCTAATAAACACATACAAAGATGCTCAATATTATTATTCATTAAGGAACAGCAACGTTAACCACAATGAGATACCAGTAAAAACTCACTAGAATGGCTGTAATAAGAAAAACAGAGAATACCTAGTGTAGGCAAGTATGTGGAGAAACTTGAGCCTTCATGCATTGCTAGTGAGATGTAAAATGGCAGCCACTTTGGAAAACAGTTTGGCCATTACTTAAAAAGTTAACCATAAACTTATCACATGACTCTGCAATTCTACTCCTAGGTATCTAAGATAAAATGGAAATATGTCTATATAAGGTCATTTAAGATAATGTTTATAGCAATATTTTTTTTTTGAGATGGAGTTTTGCTCTTGTTACCCAGGCTGGAGGGCAATGGTGCGGTCTCAGCTCACCACAACCTCCGCCTCCTGGGTTCAGGCAATTCTCCTGCCTCAGCCTCCTGAGCAGCTGGGATTACAGGCACGCGCCACCATGCCCAGCTAATTTTTTGTATTTTTAGTAGAGACGGGGTTTCACCATGTTGACCAGGATGGTCTCGATCTCTTGACCTTGTGATCCACCTGCCTTGGCCTCCCAAAGTGCTGGGATTACAGGCTTGAGCCACCGCGCCCGGCCCTATAGCAATATTATTTTAAAAGCCAGAAACTGAAAACAACCCAAAATCTCATCAACTGGTGACTGGATAAACGAACATGAAAACAACTCAAATATCCATTAAATGATGCATGAATAAATAAATGTGGTATAGCCATTCAGTGGAATACCGTTCAGCAATTAAAAGAGGGGAAAAGTGCTGATGCGTGCTACATGAATAAACCTCAAAAACAAGGAAGCGGGGTCCAAAGTGGCTCCCGCCGGAGGTCATGGCGCTCGCGAAGGCGAGGTCATCAGTTCAAGGCTAACCTGAGCAACCTCATAAGCTCAAACTGATTGGCAAAAAAAAAAAAACAAGGAAGCCAGACACGAAAGTCATCACGTGTATGATTTCATGGATATAAAATGTCTAGAAAATGCAAATTTGTAGAGCAAAAAAATCACATCAATGTTGCCTATGGATAGGAGTAGGAGCTGGGATTAACTGTAAATGGGAATACAGAACTTTGGGGAGGTAATGAAAATGTCCTAGGGCTGCATTGTGGTGATGGTAGTACAACGCTATGAATTTACTAATGTCATTGAATTGAATACTTACATTTGATAAATTTTGTGGAATGTCAATTGTATTTCAATAAAACTTTTTTAAAGCCACTGAGTTTGACTGTTGGAAATAAGAGAGATAAAAGCAGAAATGAAATAAATGTGGTTGAAAGCAGAACAACAGTAGAACTAATTAATAAAAAACATGTTTTTGAAGAACATTAACAAAATAAAAAACAACTAGGTATTCTAATCCAGCAAAAAGAAAATGCAAACCCTGTTTAATAAATGGCGTTGAGAAAACTGGCTAGTCATGGACAATTAAGTCATGTGCAGGAAGCTGAAACTGGACCCCTTCTTTACACTTTATACAAAAATTAACTGCAGATGGATTGAAGATTTAAACATAAGAACTAACACCATAAAAACCCTAGAAGAAAACCTAAGCAACACCATTCAGGACATAGGCATAGGCAAGGGCTTCATGACTAAAACACCAAAAGAAATGGCAGCAAAAGCCAAAATAGACAAATGGGATCTAGTTAAACTTAAGAGTTTCTGCACAGCTAAAGAAACAATCATTTGGGAGGCCGAGGCGGGTGGATCATGAAGTCAAGAGATCAAGACTATCCTGGTCAACATGGTGAAACCCCGTCTCTACTAAAAATACAAAAAATTAGCTGGCACGTGCCTGTAATCCCAGCTGCTCAGGAGGCTGAGGCAGGAGAATTGCCTGAACCCACGAGGCGGAGGTTGCAGTGAGCTGCAGTTGTGCCACTGCACTCCAGCCTGGCCACAGAGTGAGACTCCATCTCAAAAAACTAAACAAAGCAAAAAAAAAAAAAAATTCAAAATTTCTGGAACAATTATAACAATAATATGTAAACCTAAAAATGTATCACAGAAAATAAAAATAAAAGATTGATTTCCATTGTCAACAGTGATGCAAATATCTTAAGTCATAATCAGAGTCTTCAATGATTATTCTAGAATATTGCTCTCATTAATTCTGTCAGTTTTTTCTTTATATATTTTAATGATCAGTTATTAGATTTATAAGGTCCTACACTGAATATTAAGCTACAATGTCACTCTTTGTCTTGTAATCTCTTCTGGTTTATAGACTATTTTGTCTGATGCAAGCATCACTGCTTTCTTTGGGATATTTACATGGAACATCATTTTCAATCCTTTCACTTTCACTATTTGTGATTTTGGATGTAAAGTGAGTCTCTTATAACAGCATATAGTTGAACTATGTATTTTTATTCAATCTTCAAATGTAAGTCTTTTGATTGAAAAGTTTAGTCATATACATTTAAATTAACTACTAATGAGGAAGACATTTCTGTCATTTTGCTTTGTTTTTGAAGTGGCTTATAATCTTTTTTATCTCTAATTTCCTGCATTGCTGTCTTCTTTTGTGTTCAGTTGACTTTTTTTTTTTTTGAGATGGAGTTTTACTCTTGTTGCCCAAGCTGGAGCACAAGGACACAATCTTGGCTCACTGCAACCTCTACCTTCTGGGTTCAAGTGATCCTCCCTTCTCAGCCTCCTGAGTAGCTGGGATTATAGGCACTGCCACCATGCCTGGCTAATTTTTGTACTTTTAGTAGAGAGAGGGTTTCACCATGTTGGCCAGGCTGGTCTCGAACTCCTAACCTTAGGTGATCTGCCTGTCTCGTTCTCCCACAGTGCTGGGACTACAGGCATGAGCCACTGTGCCCAGCCACAATTTACATCTTTTTACATTATGTATCTACTAACAAATGGTTTTAGCTATAGTTATTTTTAGTAGTTTTGTCGGCCTGGCATGGTGGTTCACACCTGTAATCCCAGCACTTTGGAAGGCCCAGGTGGGTGGATCACCTGAGATCAGGAGTTAGAGAACAGCCTGGCCAACAGAGGAAACCCTTTCTCTACTAAAAATACAAAAAATTGGCCAGTTGCGGTGGCTCACGCCTGTAATCTCAGCACTTTGGGAGGCTGAGGTGGGTGGATCACGAGGTCAAGAGATCAGGACCATCCTGGTCAACATGATGAAACCCCGTCTCTACTAAAAATACAAAAAATTAGCTGGGCATGGTGGTGCGTGCCTGTAATCCCAGCTGCTCAGGAGGCTGAGGCAGGAGAATTGTCTGAACCCAGGAGGTGGAGGTTGCGGTGAGCCGAGATTGCGCCATTGCACTCCAGCCTGGGTAACAAAGAGCAAAACTCCGTCTCAAAAATAATAAATAAATAAATAAATAAATAAAAATACAAAAATTTAGCTGGGCATGGTGGCAGGCACCTGTAATCCCAGCTACTTGGGAGGATAAGGCAGAATTGTTTGAACCCAGGAGACAGAGGTTTCAGTGAACTGAGATCACACCACTGCACTCCAGCCTGGGCAGTAAAAAACTCTCTCTCAAAAAAAACAAAATAGTTTTGTTTTTTAATCTTTATACTAGAAATAAATAAATAAATTACACATCATCATTATAGCATTAGGGTATTCTGAATATGACTGTATACTTTTACTAGTTTTATACTTTCATGTTTTCATGTTACTAATTAACAACTTTTCACTTCAGCTTAAAGAACATACTTTAGCATTTCTAGTAAGGCAGGCCTAGTGGTGATATACTCCCTCAGCTTCTGTTTGGGTAAATCTTTCTCTCTTTCATTTCTGAAGGACAGCTTTAGGGGTAAAGTATTCTTGATTAGCAGTGTTGTTTTTTCAGCATTTGGAAAATATCATCCCGCTGTCTCCTAGCCTACAAAGTTTCTGCTGAGAAATCCACTGATAATCCTTAGTAATTTTCTCTTGCTACTTTATCTTATTATCCTTTTCTCTTACCACTTTCAAGATATGCTTTGTCTTTAACTTTCTTTTTCTTTCTTTTTTTTTTGGAAGCAGAGACTGCTTTGTCACCCAGATGAAAGTGCAGTGGCAAGATCATGACTCACTGCAGCCTCAACATCATGGGCTCAAGTGATCCTATCACCTCAGCCTCCCAATTAGCTGGCACTACAGGCACATGCCATCACATCTGGCTTATTGTTTTGTGTGGAGACATGGTCTCACTGTGTTGCTCAGGCTGGCCTCCAACTCCTGGGCTCAAGTGATCCTTCTGCCTCAGCCTCCCAAAGTCTTGAGAATACAGGCATGAGCCACCATGCCTTGCCTGTCTGATTTTTGATGATTTGATTATAACATGTCTTGGTGATATTTTCTTACCTGCTGAGGGACTTTTGAGCTTCTTGCACATAAATGTTCATATCTTTCCTGTTGGAAATAGATGCTTGGTGCCACAAAGAAAAGTCAGCCCTGAGACAAAGGATCTTTCAGCAATGCAATTTTTACTTCCTGGACTGCAGGAAGCATACTCTCACCAGCCATCTTGCCGCAAGAGTACAATGAACAAAGGAAAGCAGACTCATTTATCCCATACGCATTTGGCATCATCCTTACCGTTGTGTCTAATCTCCATTGGCTGGAGCCAGACCTCACAATTTAAACTAAAACCCGATTGGCTAACAACTTAAAACTTTTCTAAACAGGTAAAAGCAATAGATGGCTGGGACATGCCTGTGAGCATGTCCAGCACAGATATCTTGGTTAAAGTACAAGGACACAGAACGTACTATGTGCCTGTAAGTATGTCTAACAGGTACATAGAATAACAAAGAGCTACTAGCACACTTATTCTTTAACAAGAAAAGAAACTTTAAAAAGGATCTTTTCTACTTCCCACAGCACTAAGGCTCTTATTGTTGGCAAAATGTCAGGGATAACTAGAGACTTGCTTTGGGTCCCCTCGTGGTCACCAAAATGTCAGCCTAATCACAAGAGTCAGAATCAAGTTTAAAGAGAGTTTACTCAAGTATAAAGTTTCAGGATAGCTGCCCAGGAAACACAGATTTTATTTTTTGAGATAGAGTCTCTGTTGCCCAGGCTGGAGTGCAACGGCACGATCTCGGCTCACTGCAACTTCCGCCTCCCGGATTCAAGTGATTCTCCTGCCTCAATCTGCTGAGTAGCTGGGATTACAGGTATGAGCCACCGTGCCTAGTCAAAAAAAATATATTTTTTGAGGCAAAATCTTGCTCTGTTGTCCCAGCTGGAGTACAGTAGCACAATCTTGGCTCACTGCAACCTCTGCCTCTGGGTTCAAGCAATCCTCCCTGCCTCAGCCTCCCAAGTAGCTGGAATTACAGTCGCCCACCACCACACCCAGCTAATTTTTTTTTTTTTTTTTTTTTTTTTGAGACGGAGTTTTGGTCTTGTTACCCAGGCTGGAGTGCAATGGCACGATCTCGGCTCACCACAAGCTCCGTCTCCTGGGTTCAGGCAATTCTCCTGCCTCAGCCTCCTGAGTAGCTGGGATTACAGGCACGCGCCACCATGCCCAGCTAATTTTTTTGTATTTTTAGTAGAGACAGGATTTCACCATGTTGGCCAGGCTGGTCTATGAACTCCTGACCTCAGGTGATCTGCCTGTCTTGGCCTCCCAAAGAGCTGGGATTACAAGCGTGAGCCACCGGCCCAGCCAACAAATTTTTTTTAAGAGAACGTGTCTCCCTCTGTGGCCCAGGTTGGAGTGCAGTGGTGCCATCAAAGCTCACTGCAGCCTCAACCTCCCAGGCTCAGGCGATCCTCCTGCCTCAGCCTCCAGTAGCTGGGACCAATCCCCTGCTTTATATATCCATAAATATATTTTATTTCCGTCTAACGTCCTTATCTGGTTTATTTTCCTTCCTGTTGTTCAATACTGCTGGATTAGATGTACTAAAATTTACCTATATTACTTACAGCTACGATCAAAAATGTAAAAGAAGCCAGACGTGCCTGTAATTCCAGCATTTGGGGAGGCTAGGGCAGAAGGCAGGAGTTGGAGACCAGTCTGAGGTTGCAATGAGTGGTGATCGCCACTGCACTCCCAGCTGGGTGACAGAGCGAGACCGTGCCTCAAAAAAAAAAAAAAAAAAAAAAGCCAGGAAAAGATGCAGCCGTTTCCTCCTGGAGGCACCTTTACGTTCTCTCATAGATAATGTTGGGCCAGCAGTGCGGGCTCCATACTATATTTCTTTCAGTCCTCGCCAGTTAGTCGCCCAGGGGCTTTTCCAACCGGAAACCTTCAATCCGCGCCCCCGTCTGGTGCGCCGCGGTCCCCCCCGGGAAGTGTAGTTCCAGCGCGAGAAGGACTCTGGGAAATGTAGTTCTGCGCGTTCACTTCCGCAGTTGGACCTTATCCGCTTCGGCACTGCGAGGTCCGAGGGGTAAGGGACGGTGCGGCGGGGGCGGGACGACGAGGCAGCGGGGCTGAGGGCGGCCTCTGTGTCCGCGCCGGGGGTCGCGGTGACCCCTCTGCGGACCGGCTGGCGATGACCCCAGCGCGCAGGAGCTGGCTAACTGCCGGGGCGAGAAAGGCCTGCGGGGCGGTCTGGGCGCATGCGCGGACGGTGGGCCTCGGGCGGGCGCCCTGGGGGCGCGCGGGGCTAGGGCCCGTGGGCTGTAGGGCGGGCGGCGGCGGCGGGCCCTGAATGTGGGTGTAGGGGAAATTTGGGGTCAGCTGGACGGTTCAGTGGGGGCTTACGGGGGTCGCTGTAGACTCGGGGTGCAGCACGGGCGGAGCAAGGGGACGCGAAGCTGGCCTCGGCCCGAGGGGAGAGGGGCTCCTGCGAGGCCGTGTGGATTTGTCTGCAGCGGTTATGGCTCTGAGCATTGGCGGCCAGCGGGGTGAACGCTGAGGCTTCTGCGGGGGTCTGCCGTGTGGAAGTGAGTGAATGGAGACTGGGCGTGTTCTTCCTGGGACAGAAGCCCCTTCTCCTCCCCTTCTCCACCTCACCTGCAGGAGTGACTGCAGTTCTGTGGGGTCCTTTGGGACTCGGTGTTTGGGGGTTTCAGTCTGTGGTGATGATTATTAAGTCGGGGTTTGGGAGTGCTGGTGGTGATGGTGTCTGGGCATCTGTATTTAAAAAACCTGTGGGAGGCCGGGCGCGGTGGAATCCCAGCACTTTGGGAGGCCGAGGCGGGTGGATCACGAGGTCAAGAGATCGAGACCATCATGGTCAACATGGTGAAACCCCGTCTCTACTAAAAATACAAAAAATTAGCTGGGCATGGTGGCGCGTGCCTGTAATCCCAGCTACTCAGGAGGCTGAGGCAGGAGAATTGCCTGAACCCAGGAGGCAGAGGTTGCGGCGAGCCGAGATCGCGCCATTGCACTCCAGCCTGCGTAACAAGAGCGAAACTCCGTCTCAAAAAAAAAAAAAAAACGAAAACGTGTGGGAGTCACTGGGGGCCAATAATCAGTTGGGGCCTGTAGGGATGACCCTGCCTGGCCCATGGGGTCTGTGATGTGACATAGGAATGGCCGACACCAGGGTAAGTGTTTGGGGGCCTGTGGAGGATTAGGAATAAAGGGTCCGGTGTGCATCATTGAATGGGGACGGTTTTATTGGCTCGTGCCCTGTGCATTGGCTTTGTTACCTGAGGGTGTTCGAACCAGGTGAGAAGGAGCTTGTTGTGTTAGTGGCCGGGTACCAGAGATGCCTGAATGACTGGCAGGGTAGACAGTGAGGTCTGTGAGGAGGAACGTTCGTAGGGTTTGGGAGTTTGATGTTTGGGATGAATGCCAAGCATGCCTATAAGCATCTATGATTGATGGTGCGGTAGGTGAGAGTGAGAACTTCGGAAGCCTGTGGGTGTCAGTGAGGGGGAAGTCTGGGGGGGTCTAATGGTTTGTTTGCCATTTGTGGTAAATGATTGTGGAGTTAGAAGTTAGTGGCCTTGGGTGGGTGTGGTGGTGCGTACCTGTAATCCCAGCTACTCAGGACGCTGAGGCAGGAGAATGGCTTGAACCTGTGAGTCTGAGGTTGCAGTGAGCCAAGATCACGCCACTGCTCTCCAGCCTAGTGACAGAGCAAAACTCTCTCCAAATAAAATAAAATCCTAAAGCCGGGCGCGGTGGCTCATGCCTGTAATGCCAGAACTTTGGGAGCCCAAGGCAGGTGGATCTCGAGGTCAAGAGTTCCAGACCAGCCTGACCAACATGGCGAAACCCTGTCTTCAGTAAAAATACAAAAATTAGCTGGGCATGGTGATGCACACCTGTAATCCCAGCTACGCAGGAGGCTAAGGCAGGAGAACTGCTTTAACCCAGAAAGTGGAGGTTGCAGTGAGCCGAGATCGTGCCACTGCACTCCAGCCTGGCGACAGAGTGAGACTCTATCTCAAAATAAAGAAAAAAAGAAGTCAGTGGCCTTTGGGTATTGTAATTGGTGTTCTGGGAGCCAATAATGTTACAGTCTGTGCGGTCAGTGGTCAGGTGTTTCTGGAGGCTGGCTATTGTTAGGCCACTAGAGTTACTGACTGGGGGCTTTGTTGGACAGTCACTGGAGAACCTATAGTGTGTGTCATTGCCGGCCCTGGAGGGGTGGCCTCTTGGGGAGAGAGACTGGGTGGCCTGTGAAGTCAGTCGTTGTGGTTCTGTGGGAGTGATGGGGCACATGGGGACAGCGATAGTGGAGTTTGTGGGGTTCAGTGGTTGTGTGGTCTGGAGGTCTGAAGCAGACCTGCTGGATTCAGTGATCTGGGGAGGTCTTGGGATGTGGAGCTGGAGAATTCTTGGGTGGTCACCCCGAGTGACCAGGGGCCTTGGGACGCTGGAGGTTAGCCTGGGCTTGTAGCTGCGGAGTTCAGGCATTCGTGGCTGGGGGGTGTGTGTGAGGCCCTCTCTGGGACTTGGTAATTGAGGGGCCTGTGAGGGCCGCGTTGGTGGGTCTGGAAGCAGATCTGAATGCATGTGGCTTGTGGATTGGCTCAGGCAAGCCTCTTGTGCGACAAGTCTTTTTGCCCTTTGGCTGCTCTTTGTAGCATGTGGCCGCTGATCAGTGGCTGCTCTTTTTACATGATTATTTCCTTTTTCAAAAGTTCTCAGTGACCGTGTTGGCTTTAAAGTCTTCCCCTTCTAGAATTTCCCCCTTGCTGTTGTACCTCATGGCACTGTTCCATCTTCCCGATGACCTCCGCTCCCCCACCCAGAGCTTTGCAGGCAGAGTCTCACTCTGTTGCCCAGGCTAGAGCGCAATGGTGCAAACTCAGCTCACTGCAACCTCCGCCTCCCAGTTTCCAGCAATTCTCCTGCCTCAGCCTCCTGAGTAGCTGGGATTACAGGCAGCGACCACCATGCCCGGCTAATTTTTTTTGTATCAGTGGAGATGGGGTTTCACCATGTTGGCCAGGCTGGTGTCAAACTCCTGATTTCAGGTGATCCACCTGCAGCCTCGGCCTCCCAAAGTGCTGGGATTACAGGCGTGAGCTACTGCGCCCCGCCCACAGTTAATTTCTTCTGAGTGCTCACAGTCAGAAATCCTTTGTTTGTTTGTTTCGAGACAGTCTCATTCTGTCTCCCAGACTGGAGCGCGGTGGCGGTGATCTCGGCTCACTGCAATGTCCGCCTCCTGGGTTCAAGCTGGGACTACAGGTGCGTGCCACCACGCCCGGCTAATATTCTGTATTTTTAGTAGACACGGGGTTTCACTGTGTTAGCCAGGCTGGTCTCCAGCTCCTGACCTCGTGATCTGCCCGCCTCAGCCTCCCAAAGTGCTGGGATCACAGTCGTGAGCCACCGCGCCTGGCCCAGAAATCATTTATGTACTGGGTTATCTGTTTCCCTAGAGGGCAGAGACCCTGTACACCTTGTTTAGTTGTTTTTCACGTGCTCAGAACAGTGCCTGGTGTGTAATAGGAAGTCAACAAATGCTGCTTTCTTAGTGTGTAAATGAGACTGTGTATGTGATGCATGTAGAGTGTGTATGTAATGTGTGTGAACATAGATGTATGTGATGTATGTACATGTGTGAACATGTGAGGTGTATGTATGTCTGGGAATGTGTATGTGTGATGTACCTATGTTTGAATTTGTGTGATGTGTGTATGAATGTGTATGTGTGTATGAGTATGTATGTATATTGGAGTGTATGTGTGCAAGTATGTGTGATGTATGTGTGTGGGTGTGTGTATGAGTGTGTGATGTATGCATGAGTGTGATGTATGCATGTGTATGTGTCTGTGTGTGTATGTTTGAGTGTATGCATGTGCGATATGTGTATCTGCATGTCTACATGTATGTATGATGTATGTGTGCATCGGTATCTGTGAGTGTGTGTATATGACGTACATGTACATCAGTGTGTGTGTGCATGTCTGTGTATGTGATGTACATATACGTCAGTGTGTGTGCATGTTTGTATGTATATGTGTGACGGACTTATCCATGTGAGTGTGTGTACATGTTTGAGTGTGATGCATGTATCAGTGTGTGTGTCTGAGTATGTACGTGTGTGTATGTGTGATGTACATGTGCATCAGTGTATCAGTGTGTGTACATGTCTGTGTGTCTTTGTACATGTATGTACGTGTGTAACTGTACATCTGTGAGTATATGTATCTGTGTGTGTCTGAGTGTGTGTGGGGTGAGAGAGGTTTAGTGTGATTGTGAGAGCGGAGGGGTGAGTACTCAGGACGCTGAACCGGGAGGCCAGGGTGGCTGCTTGTGGACATCAGGACGACAGGCACATTCCCTTTGCCAGAGAAGCAGCTAGAGCAGGTCCCGTCTGCATTAACTCAAAAAGGTTCCAAGCTAATTAGAAGCTTCCGGGCAGGTGGACCTTGATCTCAGGAACCTCAGGTTTGGATGCCAGTAATTGTGGGGTCTAAGCTTCAATCAGGGACCCCAGGTTTGGATGCAAGTAACCTTAGGGTCTCTTTTTAGTCAGGGCTCCTGTCTGGGCTTCCTAAACTGTGGAGCCCCAGCCTGTGCCACAAGCCTGAAGGAGCTCCAGGCATCTCAGGAGGAGCTGCGTCTTTGGATGCTCCTCTCTGAGCTATTCCAGGATGTTTTTTCTTGAGAAATCTGCCTCAAGCTACAGACCCTTCACACTGTGGACTAGAAGAGTCCGCTCAGAGCCTCTGGCCTCTATGTCTGCTTCCTGTGAGTGGGCAAAGCCCACACCATGCTTCTCCTTTTCCAGTTTCTAGGAATTGCGCCTGCCTCAGTGTCCTTCCTCTGCCATCCACCATGGTTTTGGGTCAGAATCCAGAGTTCAGCCAGTCTTTCCAGAGTGACTGTGGTTAACGATCCTTGCTGACATTGTGACTTGTCTCCCTGGCCTGAACCTTACCCTGATTCTCTCAATGACAAAGAGACGTTAAGAACACGGGATCCCATGCCAGGCACGAGTTACACTGGTCTCCACTTCCTGTTCCCTGCAGGTGTGGGTGCTGCCGGCTGTGCACCGCGGGGTTCCTGAGCACAGGGTCACCTGGGACAGTGCTTGGCTGTTCTCCGGACCTCAGCCTACATCTGGGGCAAGTGGGAGGCTATGCACAGGGGTGGTGTCTGACCCTGCTCTTTTAATTCAGTTGCCCTGGGGCAAAACCCGGCAGTTTGCCAA